ACATGAAAGGAAGATTAAAACCATTGATGTACTTAATTTTCCTTAGCAAATCAGGGTCCTGTCATGCAGTAAGTTGGTATAAGTTTAATTTAGGTTTACTAAAGAGTGACAGTTGGCTATCATGTTGGAAACAATGGTAGGGATATATGAGATGCATGTTCAAAAAGCCTCAATGGACAGTTCTGGGAGCTAGAAAATAATTATTTGTCTATTCTTTAGATATAGATTGTCACTAAGCAGATACCAAGTTATATATAGGGCGATTTTGATCTTTAAAATATTAAAGGATAGAAATGAGTACATTTTATACTATGTCCATTTGGTATAACCATATTTTTAAGGGTTGTATTTTTTTCCTAGATGTACATAATGTATCTGTGTCCTTAGAACTAGAAAAGAACTTCATTCCCTGGAGCCAGAGATTTTGGGTGCTAAGAACCAAACCTTTGTCCTTAAAGTAGCAGGTGCTGAACCATCTCTTCTGCCTCTTCCATTGCAACTTATTTAATGGCCTCAAACAGTTGGATCTATCTGGAGCTTATAATAGGTAGTTTTCTTTTAAAATAGATATTGTGCTTCCCTATGTAGTTATGGAAACATTCTTAAAGCTTCAGATAAGTTGCCTGCTGTGAATTTCAGCTGTCTTATGTCCTCATTTAAAGTGTTAGGATGCAGTTAGGTTCTGTTTAGTATTTACGCTTTGCCTATCAAGTTTAGATTCTGAATTTAAATCATGGGCTTGGACAATTTGAGGGTTTTTTTTTTTTAACTGTTTTTCCTTAACTGTTTGATAATGCCAATAATGGTTAAAATATTGGGTTTGGGGCTTAGTGGCTAAGGGTATGTTACTTTTCTAGAGTACTTAGGTTTGATTCCCAGCATTCACATAGGTCAGCACAACTATATGTACCTCTAGCCTCAGGGCATCCAGTGTCCTCGTCTGGCTTTTGAAAGCACACAAGTGCAGACAGGCATGCTTATAAAAACACTCCAACACACATAAATTTTTAAAAATTTCTTTGGCTGAGAATTGTGGTACATGCCTTTTATCCCAACAGTTAGGAGTTAGGCACAGGTAAGGCCTTTGTCAGTTCAAGGCCAGCCAGGGTTACATAGTGACACCTTGTCTTTTAAAAAAAATTGTTCAGAAATCACCCAACCTGGCCTCCATCCTCTGGCTAGCACCTTCCCAAATTCTGGAATTATATTTTTGAACATCTAATGTTTGCTCATGCTTAAATGTGGACAGTTTATATATTACCTTGAAAGTCATAAATCAGAGGCCGGAGAGATGGTTCAGTGGCTAAGAACACTGGCTCTTCCTCCAGAGGTTCTGAGTATCTGGCTCAGCAGTAGGTGCTTTATACATTAAATCGTTTTATTCCTTGGGTCTTAGGTCTTTGAAGTTGCTAACCAAAGAACTTTTGAGTTTCTACAATTATCAATACTATTAAGGATATTAAAGGAATGCTAATTTTCATTGTTACCAAAATTAAGTAACAGTCTCATTAAGATCTCGGTACCCCTTGAGAAGACTTGCTGTGCAAGCATTGAGGACCACAGTTTGAATCTTTAGCACCAATGTAAAAAGCCAGGGCTGATCACATATGTCCACTGGGGCTTGCTGGCGGCTAGCCTGGCTCCAGGTTCAGCAGAAAGACCCATGTTTCAAGGGTAAGGTAGAGCTAAGGCAATGCACTCAATATCTTCTGGCTACATGTGCATATATATATACACTACATAAGGAGATTCTAAGACCTAAATTTATCTGAAAGAACTATGCAAATATGGAGAGTATTGCCTGAAGTTAAGTGTGAAGAATGGGTAAAGAGGGTCCCTATCTAAAGAGTGCTTTTGGTAGTCTTTAACATATCCTGAAAGCATACTTAAAATCTCATGAGTGACTAAGTCAGGAGCTTGGGTTTTTTTTTTTTTCCCCTTCCAAGTGTAATTCTGTTAATTGAAACTGTCTTTTCAAGTGGAAAGAATGATACCTCCCCCCCACACACACACACACCCCTAAAAAAATTGAGACTGAGTCCTGGCTGGCCTGGAACTCAGAAATCTGCCTGGCTGAGTGCTAGGATTAAGCTATGTACAGTTTCATGATCATGTAAATTAAGGGTGTGGCAGTATATTTGAATATCTTCCCATTCACTCAAAAACTCAGATGGGAAAGTCTTAGATGCGTTTTAAGACTTTCTAATATAAGGGACTGGAGAGATTAAGACCATTTGTTGCTTTTGCAGATTCCCAGTCCCACATGGTAGTTTACCACCATCTATAACTGGTTTCAGAGGACATACATGCAGGCAAAACCTTCATACACATATAATCTAAAGGGGGGGGGGCACGGAGAGATGGCTCGTTAGGACAAGTAGTATTTTTGCAGAGGACCAGAGTTCAGTTCCCAGCACTCAGGTTAGATGGCTCACAACCATGTGCCAGAGAATCCCAAAACCCTCTTCTGGTCTCCACAGACAACCGGACTAATATACTCGCATTCAGATAAACAGACACATCATTAATAGTTTTTTAAAAAAGATTCAGAATACAAAATTTGACATAACCTCAAAGATGTGTATTTTAGTCTACAGAATTGAATTAAAAACAGTTCAAGTAAGGTTTAAACAGGCTAGATTTAGTATTTCAAATGCAGAACAAAGGGAATTTTGTTCTTTATGGTTAGGTAAGCTAGGATTTGTTACGAAGTTTTACATTTTTTAATTTCTTAAAATATGGATGTATGGATGTATTGGTTGCATGTCTTTCTGTGTAACTGGTGCCCATCATAGAGGCCAGGGCAGGGGGTTGGGTCCCCCTAGAACAATAGTTACATATGGTTGTGAGCTGCCATGCAGGTGCAGAGCTTCTCCCCTACCCCCAATCCAGAGCTGAGGACTGAACCCAGGGCCTTGTGATTGCTTGGAAAGTGTTCTACCACTGAGCTAAATCCTCAACCCCCTCAGTCAGAGCTCTTAACCAATGAACCATTATACTCAACATAAATTCAGGTCTGTAAGGTCCTATGGTGAGTTCCTTTTTAGGAATAGCAGAATCTTGTCAAGTTGGACTGTGATAATGTAGATGGACACAGTCTATTCTTGTGTGTTTCAGATAGAGCTGCACCCAAGGTTCCTGTCAGTTACATTTTCATTTGAATACTGTCTCCTGGAATCATGCATCACTACACCTCCAGAGTTGGGCTAAGTCTCTTATGAATCCTAGGTCCACTTTTGACTCAACCCTTCGGTCATAGGTCATATTTTCTTACTAGTGTTTCATGTTACCAAAAAAAGTTTTGAAGATGAACCAAGTGTCCACTTACAGGTTTCCATCTTACAGAAGAGACAAGGCTGAAAGCTCAATTGAGTGGCTGGAGGCCATTCTCTAGGAAATGACTGGCAACAGGTTCACTCTAGTGCCAGGCCTGGTTAAGTACATGATTGGTCCTAGTGTAGTGATAGGACTCTTGGAGGATAGTATACAAGCCCATGCTTATTGACATACACAATTCTCAAGTGCATCTCCAGGACCCCTTTCCTCAAATACCGTTATGTAGCCCTGGATTGCAGAGGCTAGGTTTGAATGTGGGATACTACTTCCTCCAGACTGCACCACTACATCCAGCACACAACTTTTACAACAGCAAAAAGCCCTCCAGTGATGAGAGGAAACTGGTGTTCTAAAGGGTTTTTTAAAGGAATGTTCATTGTCCAATCTTAGGGCCTTCATTGTTAGACCCTCTATGTGTCTAATCAGTCTCAACATAGCCACATGGGTGAGCCAGTTTTTCCCCCATTACAAAATGGCGGAGCACATCTTTAATCCCAGCTCTCAGGTGAAGGCAGGCAGATCTCTGAGTTCAAACCCAGTCTTCTGGGTGACTTCTAGGACAGCCAGGGCTACAGAGAAAAACTGCCTTGAAAACCAAGAGGGAGTTGGGAAAAGAATATGTATGAACCTCACAACTGGTCTCTCTCGTCCCACCCCTCAGGTTTCAGGCTCACAAACCAGAGGGAACAGTCTCATTCCACTTCAACCATAGCTCCTCCTTACAAGATTGCCCACTCCAGTGCTTCTTATCGCTGTTCCCATTATTTCAGCCACTGTGCCTCTTGCTCAACCAATAGTCTGTGGAGTTGCTGTTAGCATACAATGCTCTGAGAGTGGCTTGACCTGTACCTTTACATGTTGCAAGCTCCTATAAGTTGTGAAGATTTTTACTAGTATTTATTTGGATTTTTTGACACAAGGCATCTGTCTACATAGCGCTTAATTGTCCTGGAATTCTCTGTAGATCATACTGGGCACGAACTCACAGATTTGCCAGTCTTGTTTAGAGTTCAGCAATTGAAGATGTAAGCCATTATGCCCAGCTATTTATTTATTTATTTATTTATTTATTTTTAAATATTTTGGTTTTTCGAGACAGGGTTTCTCGGTGTAGCCCTGGCTGGGCTGGCCTCGAACTCAGAAATCTGCCTGTCTCTGCCTCCGAAGTGCTGGGATTAAAGGCGTGCGCCACCACCGCCCGGCTCAGCTTTTATTTTTTTAAACTGGCTTTTTCAATCCTTTTTTTTTTTCTTCCTTAGTATGCTTCCTAGCCCTCTTAGAATGCCACTTCTAAGAACACAGGGAACACAGGGAGATTACTGGTTTTGTTCTTTGTTCTACAATACTGCACAGCAGGCATCCATTGTGAATAAACAAATTTTCATTGTGAGATGTATCATTTCCTTGGTATGACAATCTTAGTAACATCTACTATAAAAAGTTTTTTTGTCTTTTTTTAAGATAGGCTCTCATTATGTAGCCTTGGCTGTCCTGGAGCTCAGAGATCTGCCTGCTTCTGCCTCCTGAATGTCGGGAATAGAAAGCATGTATTGCCATGTGTGGCTATAAAATGTTTTTGTACTTTGAAAATGTAAAAAGTAAAATGTAAATGGGTGATCGTCCTATGAAAAATATTACTGTGAATAAACTCAAACAATCCAAAGTAATTTAAGTCATGGTATTCCTTTATTAGTGCTAGCTCCTTTTAATTTTTATCAGAGCTAAACAATTTAATATAAAAATGTCATTTCTTGTTCATACAGTATATAAAAAAGTATAGTGGTTTGGTTAGTTTTCAATAGTTTGCTTTTAGCCAGATGTCATATAAGTCTATGACTGTAACAAATGAGAACAGTATAAATAAGTTCTGTAGTATTTACACTTACACAGAAACTAGCCCAAATGGTGCCTAAGAAATTAACTTGAGAGTTAAAATGAAACTGATTCAACATTGAGACTTTAATGCTTTGTAAAGTTTCATATTATTTCTACACTAGCTTTGGCTATAATTCTGCATAGTTACTTATAAAGTGTTTCTGCATTTCACATCACAGTAGGAAGTTTTAGCAGTACAAAATAAACTCTAGCTCAGAGAAGGCTCCATCCTCCCGAACCTAGTGTTTCTTTGTATCTGGCTTCTTGCTTTTGGGAACAAGGAACACGTTGCCATCTCTGGTTTGCTGCAGAGAGTATTCGCTGGGAGAGTAAGGTTTTCCATCCTCATCCCGTAACATGCTGAAGACTTCCAGATACAAAGTGCTGAGCTGCCTTTTCAGTAGATGGAGGTTTCTATCATTTTCTCCCTTTTCTCTGAGCAGTTTTTCCCTCTCGTCTTTTAAGTGGCCCAAGTCTTGCTCCAGCTCTACGATGTTCTCCAGCTTCCTTTTCCTACAGTTCTGAGCGGCAACTTTATTCTTACCTCTCCTGCGTATATCTCGGATTAATGCAAGCTGAGCTTCGTTGAATTGTTCCTTGGACATCATTTCATTGAAGTCATCAACAGGGAGGTTAATGATTTTTTCGACAGGGAATGGAATATGGAGAGCTTTTGCCCTAAGCTCATCTCTTGTGAGATGAGCCTCTAAGCGACTTGAATGTTTGTCCTTTGTGAATGGGATTTTTTGATGACCAGGACTCACAGGTATTTCTTTTTTTGTTGTATTTTCACATTGGAATTCATGCACAGGAGCACTGTGCCCTCGAGCTGGTGACAGAGGCTGTACTGTATCCCCAGAAGAATGTGTTGGCTGTGCTTTAGGGCCATTCTGTTTGACACTTCCTGGGGCACTATCTAGCTCTTCCATTTCCGAGTCACTGAACCCAGGCGGTGGGTCTCCGTAAATGGAAGACTCCACAGAGTGCTCTGGGGATGTTCGGCTGGGACTTGTGTTCAGTGAAATGCCGGAGTCAGAGTCATTGAATTCCGCTGTGCCTTCAGTGTGCTTCTGGTTGAAAGCTTTACACAGTGACAGATCACAGCCATCAATAGTCCCGCCCAGAAGTTCAGAGAGTGACTGACTGATGGCAGCAGAGGAAGGCATGCTGCTACCGCCACTGGGCTCTGCTATGAAAGCAGAATAAAATTCATCGCCAAAATCTGTGTTTAAGGTGGAATTTGAGTCTAAGGAGTTCAGCTGACTGGCATCATCTGTGGAGAGGATGCTACTGAAAGTATCCTCAAAACCATGAAGGAAATGTGGACTACAGTTGCCCATTTCTTTTTCCAGTGAGGGGATCGATGAGTAAAAATGGTAATTGCTGTCCATTTCTGTCAGTGTGGCTTCTGGGCTGGGAACAGTGGTGGTCTCAGCCAGCTGCTTGTTTTCGGTATTAAGACACTAGAAAAGAAGGTCACATTGTATAAACAAAGGCTAAGTGCATTTTAGATCAGTTCCCTACCCCTAAATCCAAGGTGTTCTCAATAATTCTGGTAACTCCCCATTTTCAATAGGTATTTTATGGTTGTTAGAACTCTGAATTAGCTTTCAGTCTTAGAATGAATTTATCCTGAAATATTCAGTCTAATTAACTAAAAACTACTTGTGTTAAGTGAGCCTGGGAAGCTCTCATGAGTAATTTAATGCACCATCAATTTCTTCCTTTGAGTAGGTAGCATGTAAATAATAAATAACCAGAATGACTAATTTAAAAGGGCCCACAGAAAACTGCCCACTCAGAGCTCTCTTACCTGTAACTCGGGAATGGAAAATAGCTCCTGCCAAACTTGCTCCATGTCCTGTTGTATGCTGCTTAAATCAGTCATGGCTGCCTCCAGAGAGCTATCAAGTGACTGAGCCTGATCAGGGGCAGTGAAGACCGAGCTTTCAACGTGGCTGGGAATATCCAGAGCAAGTGACTGAAATGTAGGTGAAGAAACCTAAGATTGACAAGACATTATGTGAGTGAGAGCCAAGGCATGTAGAACAGACAGCGGCAGGGGCTACAGCTCTCAGATTACTAACGACTGCTTTTATAAAATGAAACATTTCTTCCTCCCCAATGACTCCACACTGATACACGACTAGGTTATTTCATTCCATGTATTTAAAGGTAGACTTCAAAATGGATAAAAATATTCGTTAGGATTTTATTTGTACTCATAATGCTAGCAGAATGTTTCAAACAAGAGATTAAGATTTTTAATCCGGGCTGGAAAGATGGCTCAGTGGTTAAGAGGATTGACTGCTCTTTGAAAGGTCCTGAGTTCAACTCCCAGCAACCACATGGTAGCTCACAACCATCTGCAATGGCATCTGATGTTCTCTTCTGATGTGTCTGACACAATGTAATCACGTAAAATACATAAATCTTTTAAAATAAAAAACAAAAAACTTAAAAAAAATTTTTTTTTGTTTTTGTTTTTTTGAGACAGGGTTTCTCTGTGTAGCCTAGCTGTCCTGGAACTCACTCTGTAGACCAGGCTGGCCCCGAACTCAGAAATCCGCCTGTCTCTGCCTCCCAAGTGCTGGGATTAAAGGCATACGCCACCACTGCCCCGCAAAAAAAAAAAAAAAAAAAAAAAAAATTTAATCCAAGTGCTGGTTAATAGTTGTTCTTTATTAGTCAAAATATTTTATATACCTATATCCATTTTCCAGGGAAAATTATTCTGACTCACGTTTCTAGCTATACAGTAAAATGGACTCATGGTTTAGTATCGTATACAGGTCTTATTTTTAAACACTGTATAGATATCTAATACAGTTTACTGGACAATTTCTTTGATCAATTTTTTCCTTCTAAAATTTTCTTTTATTCTCTTAATTGGAGACACATGAAAGGGACTTATACCAGATAAGGGAGTTTTGCTGTTAAGCAAACATTTTTATACCTCATGGTCATCTACAAATGGGAATGTCTCTGCCAAAAGCTGCATACAGTCTTCAAAGTACAAGGCATCTTGTTTGGGAATGTGGGCAACCTAGAATAAGGGGAAAGGCACAAAGGAACATCATTTATTAAATGTTCTAAGTCCAAGGGTCATGACTAGCATTGAGAGTTGTTCATAAAATAACCTATGATCTCATTTCAGAAACTGATTTGTTGTATAGATTCAAACCAGATCACTTGTGTTCAAATTATTAGTCCCTCCCCCTTTAATAAACAGTGCTGGGGAACTGAACCCAGGGCTGTGCTAGGCAATAACCTCCCCTCATTTTTGAGTGATCTGGACAAATGCTTTAGTTGTTTAGCAACATATAACATGGGAATCATATTTAACACACTTACATCAGTTACTCATACACTTAGGGTCATGCCTGCCACAACAAGGAGCAATGCCTATCCCCTCTTATGACCAAAAGTACTTCTGTCACTGTTTCTCCCAACAAGATGTTTCTGTAACTCACAAAGTACTTCCCATGATCTGTGTCCTGATCATCAAAAGAATTCTCAAAGGAACTCAGGTACTCAACTCATCAGGAAGCTAAGCCTGGGAATTTAACCTCCTCACAAAAGATATAGAAGATGGCAGACCAAGAACTCAGATCCAGATGGTCTGCTTTTTAAGTAGAGTTGTCCTTAGATCCCGCCAGAACTAAGTGTACCTGGGCGTAGCTGGCAGATCCACTGGTGTCTGTCTGGATGTGCTGGGCTGGCTGAATTGGGAGGAATTCTCCTGTTTCTTCATCCAGTTGTAACTGAGCAAAAAAGGCCTTCTCCTGTTCCTTCTGGAGTTGCTCTTGTCTCTCCTTTTCAAGTTTTTTTTTGTTTTTCCAGCTCATAGTCCTTCTGTCGCTGACTAAAGTCAAACACTTCTCGACTTACCCCAAGATCTATGTCTTGCCTCCAGAGGATATCAATCAAATCCATGTCCTATGTTTAAAACAGAAAAGGAAGGAAAAACCATGGTCAAGATGGTCCATACGGGTTAATTCACTGCATGCAATCACTGATGGGGAAGAATACAAACAAACTACGAATGAGAATACAGATGTACATTGGTGTACTTTTAAGAATCCCCCCCCCCCCTCTCTCTCTCTCTCTCTCTCTCTCTCAAAAGATTTATTTACTAAGTATACAGCAGTCTGCCAGCATGTATAGCTGCAGGCAAGAAGAAGGAGTCATATCTCATTACAGATGGTTGTGAGCCACCATGTGGTTGCTGGGAATTGAACTCAGGATCTCTGGAAGAGAAGCCAGTGCTCTTAACCTCTAAGCCATCTCTCTAGCACCAACCCCCTCTCTTTAGAAGAGAGATTATAGCAAGTGCACTGAGCCACTTTTTGTCTGTCATAAACCCTGTCTCAACAAACAAACACCCCAGAATAAAAACCAATATTCAGGAGTTTTGCTTTGTTTTAGTTGAGATAGGGTTTCTCTGTGTAGCCCTGGCTATTCTGGAACTTGCTCCACAGATCAGGCTGCCCTCAAACTCAGAGATCCACTTGCTTCTGCCTCTGCTGGGATTAAAGGTGTGTGCCACCACTGCCCAGGCAGGTTTCTGTTTTTTGAAACGGGATCATATAGCACAAGCTGGCTTTGAACTACTAACCCTCCTGCTCTGTTGACCAAGGGCTGGGATGTACTACCACCAACACCTAGCTCCAGTTATAATTCTGTACAAGCAAGGACTGAGACAATTTCTGTTGGACCACCTGTTCTCATGTCTGACTTCCTGAGCCAAAGGACTGGGTGACCATTTCTAATGGAACTTACTCTAAAATCACCAGTGTAAATCATGCCAACAGTTGACTTTAACACAATTATTTTTTTCTTGTTTCCACCAAATGATAACACTTCAAAACTTCAGAGGGTGTTAATTATTCTTTCCTACCGCAGCATACAGATGGTTACCAAAGGAGACAAATGTCTTCACAAACATAAAATAAGCCAGAGTTAGCAAATGTCCTGATGGGAGACCTGCCGTATGCAAGACCAAACTCCAGGCCAATGCATAATGGAACTGTGGTCTCTAAAGTAATACTGAGACCACCTGAACATTATTTCAAAAGCATGGATGGTGTCATAATGAAGCTTCTAGGTCCTTCTTTGAACATGTTAACGTACTTTTGTTGTTTTTGTATTTTAAGGGAGTTGATACACATCCATAAACAAATTAGAACATGGAGTTTAGGTGGTACCTAAACTGTTGAGAGCAGTGAGTACCTCCTTGTATTTTATGTTAGTCACAGATGCACTCAGTCACAGTTTCCTATGATGACTTTCCCTCAATGCATATCCTAAACCAACCCAGTATGTCTTTGTTTTTCATTTCCCATAACATGATCAGAAAAGGACACTTTGAAGGATCCTTATCAAGAACCAGGAAGGCTCGGCTCACCTGGAATGGCTCTGCACTCAAACAGTGGCTCCCACAGCCTAGCATGCATTTCCAGCAGGAAGGCTACCAAGAGATGTTTACACTTAACTATTCTTTCTTTTATTAGTCAGGGTTGCATGTAGCCCAGGCTGGTCACAAACTCACTATGTACCAAAAAAGATAGCCTTGTCTGGATCTTCTTGCCTGCATCTCCCCAGTTCTAGGACTACAGGTATATGCCACCCATACCTGGATGTCATCTAATTGTTACCAGTGGGCCAGGGAACATTCAGTGTGATCATCGTGTGGCATCCACACAGGCTTCAAAGAGTCCCAGGAAGTTCTCTGCACTCTCAGACTTGAGTTACAAAGTGTGCAAAAGAAAAGGAAAACTGCTTTTTAAAAACTAGCTTGAGAGAGGGGTCAGCAGTGAATATCATGCACTGCCCAAAGGACCTGGCACCCATGTGCGCTTGTTCTCAACTGCCTGTAGCTCCAGCTCTAGGAAATCTGACACCTTTAGCTTCTACACACACACACACACACACACACACACACACACACACACACGCATACACACACATTCAATTAACCTTAACGTAAGTTTTAAAGAGTAAAAACAAGTTGACTTTAAGCAACTTTTAGACTTTGGATTCCTAAACAGCATGCATTTTCCCATCTGAGCACAAGCTAGGGCTGATCCTGCAGCATTAAAGCCGATAGCCTGTGCTCTGAGTGAGATCATAGGCCTGAATACAGACATTCTGATCTGAATGCAGAAACAGCAAGTTTCTTCTTGTGCCTAACACATTTTGCTGTTTTAGATTTCCATACAAGTTTCAGAAGGAAAATGTCTGAAATTTGATTTTTTTCCCCTAAGACAAACAAGTTTCATGCTGAAGCCCAAAGATGGCCTCAAGCTCACAGCAATCCTCCTGTCCCAGCTTTCCAAAGCTACAAGTGTGTGCCACGATGACCTAGCTTCAGATACTGGATGAAACTGTATGAAACAGACAAAGCATTACACTGGAAAGAAATATTGTACACAAGTCTGTTAACCCAAAGCACTGCCTAGGAGGCCCACAGCACACGCTATTTTCTGTAATGAACAAAGCACTCAGCATTTCCGGTAAGGAACCCTGTGACTGGCGCATGACTTACACCACAAAGACCTATCCCCAACCCACTGCTCTGTGAAACTTGAACATCATCTAAGAGGAAATAGTAGGGTGGAGCCCTTAACAAGCGAGAACACGACACAGACAGCAGGGAGAGAAGTGTCTAAGGAGAACTAACACTGCTCAAAGCCAAAGCTTTGAAAAGCAGCTGGCTGTCTGACCCCCACCCTGTGGGTCTCTCAGGAGGGAAGGCCACATAAACAATCTGGAGAGGAAACTGAAAGCAGGGAACAGCTAGCACAGCATTCCAACAGGTATTTTCTCAGACTGGAAAAAGCTGCCCAAGGGTAACGTAAGTGCCAGGGTGGCCTTGTGACATACGGGGCAAATGCTGCCTGCCACTTAAGGATTCCTGAGTGTGTTCCAAGTTCTGCTACAAACTTAGCTTACGCAAGAGACAGTAAGAAGCAAAATGCTGAACAATTCATGTTCTATCACCATCTGCTCCACCAAAAAGTTATATTCAAAGTGTGTAATAACTATTTATTGTCTGGGTAATCCATCATAGGCCCTATGGAATGGTACAGTTTGACAACAAATTCATGGCATTTTGAAATAAACATCTCTGCACAAGGATAAACAGAGACCTTGAACACTAAAGACATTGTGTTTCAAGCCAGTCTTGTTCTTTGAACAAACACTTAGCAGAAGATTTTAAAATGATTCCCATCCTACACTAAAGCTATTCAGTAAACTGAGACGTTGGCATGTTATTGAAGTTAAAATTGTATCTTTTTTTTTTTTTTTGGTTTTTCGAGACAGGGTTCCTCTGTATAGCCCAGGCTGTCCTGAAACTCACTCTGTAGACCAGGCTGTCCTCGAACTCAGAAATCCGCCTGCCTCTGCTTCCCAAGTGCTGGGATTAAAGGCGTGTGTCACTACCGCCTGGCCAAAACTGTATCTTAAAATAAGATTTGTATTACTTTTTATTGGGGTGGCAGCGGAAGGTTGTGGAGGAACCAGACACGGAAGTGCCACAGAGTATGAATAGAGGTCAGAGGACAGTTTGTAGGAATGGTTTCTCTCCCTCTACCATGTGGGTCTCAGGCACTAAGGCCATCAGAATGGGAGCAGGTACCTTTACCCACTATGCCATCTTTGTACCACCACCAAAACAGTAGTTCAACAAGCTGCTAAAAGTAATAAACTGTACTTGTCATTTAACACAGAATAAAAACTGGTCTTTGCTTCTAACTTTAAAGATTGTTCTCCCCTCTCCCTTTTATTGGAGATCTCACTATGGAGGTCAGGCTGACCTCAAACTCATCCTCCTCCTCACTCAACCTCCCAAATGCTGGGGTTACACACAGATAGGCGTATATACACTCTGAACACCCACTTTGGTTTAACCGTTGTTTCTCTGCGCTCTCTTCTTCACGCACACATTAATTACTAAAATGTCTAGAGTGTGAAACAGCTAGCTGTACCGTCCTATCGTGTATCTCATTAGGTTGTCCAGCTGAATATTTATTATTCACCTAGAAGGTAAATCTGGTTTAGCTCCCCCCAATAGACAAAGCTCAAATATTTTAATAAAACCAGATAGAAAACATGACTCGTGTTCTACAGTGTTAAAGTCATCCAGGGGAGAGCTGTCAGATTCTATAAGTGCAATGAGGAAATGCCCAAATCTTAACAACCGAGTAAACAGCTGCATAATTAACCTTCAATTACAAGGTCCTACTCTGTGGTCATACTACCTAATAAATAAAGTATTTATTTATTAATACTTCTAGTATTACTTGTAGTAATAAATGACTCTAGGCAGATATATTACTCAAATCTATCTTACTTATGACTGTTGTATTTTTAAACATTTGCCCATTTACTTCTCTAAGGGTCTTGTCCCACACTGCATTACATGGTAGACAATACAATGCCGACTGTTTCTCAACCAAGATTCCAGAGGCAGAAGACAGACCCACACCAAGCTCCTTCGGTTTTCGCAGATTAATTTTCTAATTCTTTCTGTTACTACTGTGAAATAGGTGATTAAAATATATAGAATAATTAAAATACAGAATAGTGTGGGGTCAAAGAGGGCCTTAGGGCCATCTAAATCAGGTACAAATACTGCTGTTTATGTCTGTTACCTCAGCAATATTACAAAACCCTGGGTAAACAAATATATATATATATAAAATACATATTTTTAATTAATATATAATTAAATATATAATTAATATATATAATTTAATTAATAATATATAATTAATTATATAATTATAATATTATTTTAATATAATATAATTATAATATTATAATATTATATATTATTAAATACATAATAATATATAATTAATATATTATAATTAATATATAATTAATTATATATAAATATATATAATTTATATATTTAAAATATATGGCAGACT